ATTTACAAATTCGTGTTGCGATTTACATATTTGCGTTGCGAATTTGGAAAATCGCAACTCGAATTTGGAAAATCGCAATGGGAATTTGGAAAATCGCAATGCGATTTACATATTCGCGTTGCGAAATTGGAGTTCGCGTTGCAAATTTGTTGGTCATTTTAGCAAATCCAAAAAAAGTTGGTTAAAATCGTATATTATAAGACATTTTCAGTCACTAAAGTTATTTTCTCTTTTATTAAATATATTTTATAAAAATTTGGGGAAAAGCTTGCCCCGTAGGAGGCACTTCCTAGTTGGCTTGCCATGTCAACTAAGGCACTCCCCTTATAACGTACATTTTTGCTATGTGTGCAAGGTATATTTCACAAAATGCTCTTTTCTCTCTCTCTCTCAGAAAAGGTTCTACTTTGGTAAAATTTAGAGAAATGGTGTTGAATTGGTATTTTTTAAATTCAGGGTGATCTTCAGATATAAAAACCAATTCTTATTTGCAATATATATATATCACCTCGATCATCATTAATTTTTAATCATTAATTATGTTACAACAACTTTCATATTTACTGTAATAACTCAAATTTTGTCTAGTCACTAAAATGTAAATTTTGAAAGTTTAATGGCTAAAGTGTAAACTTTGAAAAGTTCATGGACCAAAAATGTAATTTTAAAAAGTTGTATATTTTAGCCTGTAAATGAACAGTTTGGCCTAAAACAAGGATTTTCTTGGGAATCATATTTTCTCTACGGGATTTGTTAAAAGCTATAAAGCGATAAAGTTCGGTTTTGAAATCAGATAATCGGATCGAACCAAAATTTTACACAAATTTTAAGGATGTTATAAAATGGTTGGAAATATTATTTCCATATTTTAGATCAAATAAATTTGGCTCAGAATAGTGTAATTTTTCAGATTTGACTGAACAGTGGAATTTTAGTGACTAAAATGCAATTTTCAAAAATTGCATGGCCAAAGTAGAAAGTAAAAGCCAAATTGATTCATCTTTGGCCAAAGAATATTTTAATAGAGGAAATTACAATGGAAATTGGTAATTTTTAAGATTTAGTAATGGTATTTTTTGGAATTTCTCGTAATTGAATAAAAAAAATTCAATTATAATAATTTAAAGGCAAATGTAAAGCTAATTTAATGTTAGAATAATCAAGAAACTAGTCATTTTCAGCTTGTTGTTCTTCTCTTGGCCGAACTACCTTGCTCAAGGTAAGAAAAAATTTTGTTTTGATTTTTGAAGTTAAACACTTGATTTTTGGATTAAGCTATTAAATAGAGAATTAATTTACATGAAATTCTCTATCATTTGGTATCAATATTTCATGGTGAAGATGATTGTGTGATGAGATTTGATTATAGGCTTATGAAGAGCTTAGTGATTTTAAAAAGTTGATGAATGATTTTTATGTTTTTTATGTTAGTGATTATTTCTAAAGCATGTACAATGATTAAAATTAATTGTACATGCATATATATAAGGTTTGGTCATGTTAGGGTTTATGGAGAATCATTGGATTATGATTCAAATTGATGTTGTAATGATGGGAAATGTATGAATTTAATCATAGGAGGTTGAATTCATGCTTGAAATTGAGCAAAATGTTCACCTATTGTGACATGATGGATTCAGCTATAGGGAAAATTTCAGGGGGAAAATGTTGAAAATTTTTCTATGGTCTAGAAATAATATTAGAAGTGTTCTATATGATTTGGAGATTGATTTGGGTATTTGGAACCTTGAAAGTGAAAAAGGGCTAGTTTACAAGTTTTAAGGATTGTGGGACATTATTGCATAAATGTGAGATTTGGCGTCTTCAATGTAATATTTAGTATTGAGATGCAGGAAAATTAAGTTGGAAAATTATTTGGAACCATTGCAAATTTGGTAGAAGTTTGGGTTGGAATTTGAAAGGTCCTAAGAAAATGGGGACTTGTTTGCAAGTTAGTAAATGTAGAAGTATCATTTTGGTAAATTAGGACAATTCTGGATATTCTGGAAGATTGCTGAAATTTTTGTTTAATTATTAAGTTCGAATCAAATTACAAGTTTATAGAGATTGGAGGTTGAATTGACAAAGTTTAACTAAATTCATGGTGAAATTGTAAGCTTTTAAATGTTTAAGTGTTGATTTGAATATTTTATGAAATTGCTGGAAATTTCATGTGAATAATATGATATGATTATAATAGTGAAAGGCTATTGTTAATTTAATGGAATAGGTTGGGTAAATTCTAGGAAGAACTCAAAGTTAATGGTTTGGTTTTGGAAATTGGAAAAAGTCGAGGGATTTAAATTGGAAATAAATATTTGGGAGATTAAGATTAAGAGTATTTTGAGAAGTTTGGAAGTTTAATTAAAGTTTGATTTAAGTATCGTATTGATTTTTAATTCATAGACTTTTATATTTTTAAGCTTCGATTATGTTAGTTTGATACTAACATATAGTTTGATATGTTATGTTATGATGTTATATTGTCAGACTATGATAAACCTAGCGATCCGAAAGGAAAGGAAAAAGTACACGAATAAAGAATTAACAAAAAAAAGTTCGGTAGTGAAGCAAAGGTGAGTGCAATTTGTTTATTTAACTATTTTGATCGAGGACGACTTGTGATAAGTCCACCTCGCATTATTTATTTTAAAATTATTAGTTATGTTTTGATTTTTGAAATTATATCCAAAATATTTTAATAAGTTTTATGAATGATTTTGGGTATGAACTACTTCTGTTATATTTTTGTGAATGTGATATGAAAATGATTATGATATGATATGATTTTTATCAAATGATTATGAATTGAAATGAAAGTCCATTGTATGTTGCATTGAGAGTCATAGGTATAATTTGCATGGCATGAGGTGGAGTGATTATATTCTGATTCTGATATATTGTGGTGTATCGGTGGGTACACTAGTATATATTCCGACGTGATTGCACTTTGTATGCATATTGCGATTTTCGATGTGATAGCATTGTTTGTGCTTATCTGTTCTGATTCTGATGATAGCACTAAGATATTTATTGTGCACACTAGTCTAACTCATATACCTTATATTCTCTTAAATATACTTTGGGCTACAAAAATAGAATATGAAAGTTTTGAAAAGTGTTTGATTGAAAAGAAATATTGACTGATTATTCTGTCTAATATAATTTAATATGATTTTGTGAAAGTCATAAGATGATTTCTTTCAGGTTTTTTATAAAGATACAACATGAGATGTCCAGTTTGAAAGTTATGAAAATTTTGTCTGAATTATTTTTAAATGATTATATATATATATATATATATATATATATATATATATTTCGATATTTTGATACTTGATATATTTATTCTCACCTTTAATATTACTGCCTCATGAAGTTGTACTTAACGCGTAATGATTTTCATGCGTAGGATCTGATAAGAAACCGAACGTGCAGTGAGGAGCCTCCCGAGCATCTTTTTGAAGATCATCTATAATATCAATATAAGTAAGACATCTTTGATGTTTCTTTTGACTAGTAGTGGCATGAATAATTATGTTATTAATCTACTTTATTAGTTTTAATTAATGGCGTGTAATAGTAAATCAAGACCGTTTATTTTGATTGTTTTAGTTTAACAATATTTTACATGAATAGAATATACATATATAATATTATGTTTTTTTTAAACCGTATGGAAACTGAAATATTTACAAATAGTTTTAAAGTTAAAAATAAGAAAATTTTAAAAGAAACAAATTTTTAAAAAAATTGTGAACAATGAATATTGGTTTGTTTAATGTGACATCTATAGCTTGTATTTCTAAACATATACGGGTTATGAGTGTTACATTTACTCAACTTATTTTTAAAGAAATCTATTCAAAATCAATTAAAAATTCTTCTTATAAGATGAGATTAATTTTAATCTCCTCTAAGAATTATTAAATGAGATCAATTTTAAGTTACATTATTTATTTTCTTAGAAGAATGTTTCTTATTGTTTGAATTTTTGAATAAAAACATGAAACGTCTCTAGTTCGACAATCCTCAACCACAAAAAATGATAAAATTTTCAATATTTAATTTTGTAAGTTTTGAAGAAAAAAAATTGATAGAGTGATAATATCTGAGACAAGCTCATTAATATTTAAAGTAATTGAAAAAAAAAGTCTAAGAACAAAGATTTTCAATTGAAAATGAAAGAAAAGATCTTAAGTTTAATAAAGAAAATGAAGAGATCGAAAAGAGAAGAAAAAAATGAGGATAAAAGGAATAGCTTTTGCATTTATGTCGGTACAAAAATACTCACTCTCCAGCAAATTCCCATTAGTGGTGGCCCCCCCCCCCCACCAACCCACACACTATAATAAACCACCAATACTTGGCCTCAACCTCACACAACACTTCCATTTTCACCTTCACTACTCAAACCTTTCCCATGACTTCCGATATTCGTTGCCGGATTTGTGTATTTGCATCAACATCTACGGCTGAAGGCGAGGCTTCTTGGTGCTGTGTCTTCGTGTTGGTAACCCTAGTACTACTCAACTCTTTCGAGGAAACTAACTCTACGATGAAAAGTGAAGAGTATGAAGTGATTGGCCATCAGCTGTTGGAGCAAGCGTGTGATGAAATATATGTTGTTGCGGAAGGAGAAACCCTTCACTCTATAAGTGATAAATGTGGGGATCCATTTATAGTGGAACACAATCCTCATATTCATGACCCTGACAATGTCTTCCCCGGACTCGTCATCAAGATTACTCCTCTCAACTCTCTGTCTTCAACATCGTTTTAACCCTCGTATTCATGACCCTGATGATGTTTTCCCCAGACTCATCACCAAGATCACTGCATGAGTGATAAATAGGTTGGAAAAATTTCCATTGATTTCATTGGTTTTTTAGGCCAATCGACAAACCATTGTTTTAGGTCAAGTAGTATGCTGTTTGTAATACTTGAATACCTGCCATGGAATTTCTATGTATAGCAGACGACAATGAAGGCAGATAAAGAACATGAAACGGTACAAATTTTCATTGCAATTTCATATAAGACCTTCAATAATGAAGTTCAAAGGTGAAAACACTTCTGGAAAAAAATGGATACACTCTTCGTGAAACAGTACAAATTTCATTGCAATTTCTATGTAAAACCTAGATGTTCATACCATCTATCCACCATGCAAAGTTGAAATGAAAACTACCACATCCTTCTCTTCCAAGGTTGTATCGAGCTGACCGCTCAACTCCCAATCGCAGTCGTTAACAAGGACGAGAACACCGGGTCTCCTGCACAAACCAATACCACCTATCAACCCAACAAATTGCTTTCCCAATTCAATATTTTGCATCATTGCAAATGAGTGGTCAGAGTCTAAACCCTTAAAACACTTACACAGACTCCCCTTTTATGAACATTTCAGGTCTCTCTTTGATCAAATTGGTACGAACCCAAGCTAGTAAATCCTTCATGGTTAGCTAAGAAAGCACCAAAACGAAACCCAATACATTAAAATCATCAAAATTTTGAAACACGCTGAGTTTAAAAAAGGAAAAGAAAAAGATTTACCTTATCTGCTCCTTTTGGCATATCAACATTGACATTATGAACTTTAACAGACTCACATAGAAGTTCTAAGCCTCCACTGCATCAAACAATGAACATGATAGAATTAAAGTTAAAAAGCAACAATTAAGTAAATTAAAATGAACTTCATTACTGGAAACCGCAATACAGATTAGGATTAAACTGATTGTGCCACAAGAAGAATGAAAAAGTACCCAAAGCAATAAATTTGATTAAAAATGTTACCCAAACTCGAGCGTCAAATGCATTTTGAACAAAATTTGCAGAAATCCAAAAACCCTAATCGTGTGCCGCTTTGTATTAAATCAATAATTTGTTTTCAAGGAGTCGTTACAAATATTTGATCGTCCATTCTTTGGGCCAGAGTTAATGGGCTTCGGATGCTAGTACATGGACCTTCCTTTAATAAAGGGTTTATCATGAACAGTCATATGAAATACGTCAAATTATATCATTAATTTTCGTTTAATTTGATATTAGGAGTCTTTATCGACCTTTGGGTTAGGTAGGTCGAATAAATAAAATTTTATTTTTAAAATAATTTAAATAAATTATTTTAAAGACAAAAATTAGTCTATGTATTACCAGAAATTTATTTTTAATGATTCGGGAGTAGATTAAGCATAGGGAAGAGTGAGCACCTGCACAACACCCAAAGTTGGTACTATTCGATTATAGGTTGTCTAATTGAATTTTACAAAATTTGAATTTAAAAATTAAATTACGATCCTTTTATTTCGATGAATTTTAAAAATGAGTGAATTTTTTTTAAAAAAATGCTTGACTCAATAAAAGATGGTTTAATTCACTTAGATTTATTTAAAAAAAATGTCCTCTCGTGGATTAACGGAACTTGAAATTCAGTTATGTTAGACGCAATTCTATTAAAGACAATATTGCCTTTAATTGTCTTAGAAAATGAGAAAAAAATACATAATTCATTAATGCATTAATAATAAATGATATGTACAGGATGGATGAGATATTCACAAAACATGACAAATAAGTAAGTAAAATGAAATAAAACTAAGCAATGATAAATAAATAATTAATTAAATAAATAAATAACATAATGAATATTTATATTTATTAAAACTTAAAATTTGGTGGGATACCTTTCATTTCGCAACTTAAAAAAAGTAATATTCCCCATAAATCGCTCTTCGTTCGAGACGTTATCACAAAATAGAACATAATTTAATTTTATTAAAATAATTATATGAAAAAATACCTTTATTTAAAAGATGCATATTTATGTACTTTTAAATATTATAGGCATAAATACATAGTAAATAATAATAAAATATTTTTATTCGAATAACCCTTAAAATGACACTCTAAATTTTTGGAGGCCTTCCATAGGTCAATCGAATAACAAGAGATCTTATAAAACTATAATATTTAAAATGATAGATTTTTTATTAAATAAAAATGCATATATAATATATAAAAAACACACATTTTCATAAAATATATATATACATATGGTACTACATTATATATATACACACATACGTATGACTCTAGTATTTATAGGTGAATTAGAAAATTATTTCAAAATATAAAATATGTGCATTTAAAAATATGGGACGAGAACTAAATAAGTAAAAAAAAAACAAACACTAAACCTATAAATTGATCACTTAGGCTAAGGATAAAAGCAAAATATAACTTGGAAAACATGGATTAATCGTATAAATAACCATAAGAATATTCAAGCATTAAACTAAAAAGCAGTGACCAAAATGTAAGTGAGATAAAAGTTAAAGCTTAAAACATGAAAATTAAAACTTGTATTTACTGGCTAAACGAAACGTTGCAAAATTTGGACTCCTCCTTACGTGCATATACCATGCGCTAAACATACAATTACCCGACCCCAAAACAACGTCGTTTTAGAAAACATGTAAAATCCATATTATAATTTTTAGAAAGCTCTGATCTCTTTTTTTATTCCTTCCCCGCCACTTCTTCCTTTTCTCTTTACCTTATGTAGATACCAGCTTTTGTTCGGGTCTACAAAAATATTTTATTATATTTATTTATTTATTATTATTATTATATTTTTATTTTTATAGGCCCCACACTTAATAACCCTGATTTAGTGAGATTCAGAAAATAAATCAACGTATTTGAGTCCTATTGAAACACTAAAACCAACGCATTTGAGTCATATTGAAACACTAAAACCGAAGCATTTTGAGTCCAAGTAGGACTCTAAATCTAAGCTAAAAATAGGTTTCTTTAGACTATAAATAGACTCAAACATCAAGAGAAAATGACATAGAGAAAAACGTGGGACCACATTCTAAAGTCTGAAACACAAAGCACCCAGTGTATTGTTGCTTCACACGATCCCAAGACATTTAAATCCAAGTTCTGTATTACACCAGTGGTGCAAAAGCAAGCAAGAAGAAGCGCTAAGGATTTGTAGCTTAGCTGAATACATGGACTTTAATTTCCATTTGCAGTTCGAAAAGTTTTTTTAATTGCTTTTGTTGTTTTAGAACGTGTTTGTTTGCGGAATTTTATAACTAGATGGATATTAAATGCCTTTGAACAATGAGCTGGATAACCCCATGATATGCAATGGACAAATTGTTGTTTTTTTCCTGCTTTATAAAATACCAACGCTGACTGTTTTGAAATGGATGAGTTCTATATTTGTTGTGTTTATTTCACATGTTGGTGTTTCTCATGTTCATTTGTCATAATAAATAGGAAATAGGAAATGATAATACATTATTTATTATTATTTATTTATTTTATTATTATTATTATTATTATTATTTATTATTTATTATTCATTTTTTCTTTCTTTTTGTTTAGCATTCAATATTTTATTTTGTCATCTACCATTTTGTTTATTTTTTCTTCGGTAGTAATTTCAACCGAAGGTAAATAATTTGAATCGGAATTTTAAATTTCAATTTCAATTTTTGCAATTAAAGACAATCGATAAATTAATTGGTATCGAAAGGGCGGTTCAAGGGTGTTAATCCTTCCTTGACCGTAACAGACTCTCAAACCCGACACGTTTCTGGTACAAAGTAGATCAGGTAAGATGGTGTCCGACCCACCTAAATTCGTTTCAAAATGGTCGGTGGCGACTCTAACCCAATTCATTCAAGTCGAAGCCCCATTTTGGGGCCCAACCGAAAGACGGTTCCGACAGCTTGGCGACTCCACTGGGGACAGATAAGTGAGTCAGGCCGAAATTAATTTTCAGTTATCTTTTTTGAGTGAAAATTACAAGTTTAAATTTTAATTTATTTATTCGATTCTTATTATTTATCTTTGATTTTTTTAAAATAAATAGTTGTACTGACGTTTTTTAATGGTTTCATATTTTCAAAATTTTCATCACGGGCTCTATACCCAAGCTCTAAACCCTATTTAAGTGGGGGTAAAAGCGACGCCTTCGTGTGAATTTATTCACCGCATATGCCTAGCAAGTAACCATCGGGATTCATATATCTTATGTCTTCGTGTGAATTTATTCACCGCACAGACATAAGGGAATGTGTCCTCTCAAGTTTAACTTAGTCCACACAAGCTTGTAATAGGCTTAGGACTAAGGGTCTGGCAAGCCCAATGGGACACCAGCAAGGAGAAATTGGGTACCTTTTTAGAACCTAAACTGGGAAAATACAAAGAATTAGAGCCCACCCCAAAACCTCATTTCAAACCCTAGGATGCCTGAATTAATTCTTGTTTTACTTTATGTTCAAAGCATGCGAACTAGACAAATATGCGGTTAGGATTTGTTTGAAATTAGCATGAGGGATAGAGATCATGTCCGAGTAGGAATTAAAGTATGTGGGGTAGATATCATGTGAGGTAGGATCTTTGATTTTTATTATTGTTTTAATTTACCTCACTAACTCTTTTATTTTTTGTTCTCTTTTATTTTGTTTTCATCATTTGCATCATTTAAAATAGGTATTAATCTACCAAAAATGTGTTTGTTAAACATGAATAATCTGCATTAATGGACAAAGGGGTTGTAATTCAAGAGATGAAAATGTAAATGACAGTCTACAAGGCGACTATGTGTCACATTCAATCCAGAAGACGTGTGCCCACAATTGAAGATTATCACTCTGATGCATCATAAAGGATTTAGAATGAACTGGGTCTACATCAAGCACAATGAAAGTCTATCTTTGAAGAACTGACTGGCAGAGGTTACAGTGGCAAGATGAAGATTACTGATCTTGGGAGTCCCTTCAAAGACAATAATGGCAAAACAATATCTGAAATTGGAGACCATTGCTGACGAATTCAAGAAACAGACAAATGAACTTCACATAATTCCTATCAATTGAGGACTTCAATGACGTGTTCGTTGGGAACAGGTTTAACAAAAGATAAATGCCAGAGATACAGTCATTCGAGACTTCTTGGGCCAGTACAAAAAGCAACTCAACATTTGCACGGTTTATCCAGAGAAGCCAGAGCGGTTCGACAGGTTTTTCAACCGATGACAGAAAAAGGCAGAAAACTGGTTAACGTGTCAGAAGATGTCATAATATTTTTGTCTCTTAAAAGATAAAACACTTTTGTCCCCAATAAGGATTATTTCTAATAACATATACATTTTTTGATCAATGCCTCGAACATTGCATGCATCATGAATTCTTGCATATTTCGCATTATTTTTATTTCTTTTTATTACATTCACATATCTCATAAAAAATGAGAACATTCCGATCCTATGACATATAAAGAGTTTTACAAACAGTTGTTTGACGCACATGTGGTGTCACCATATCCAGAGAAATTCATGAAGCCCCCGTACCCAGGTAGTATAATGAGAATGCTCATTGTGAATATCACGGCGGTGTCCCAAGGTACACAATTGAGAATTGTTACGCATTCAAGAGAGTCGTGCAGAAGATGCAAAACCAAAACTAGATCGACTTCAACAACTTGGGGGCATCCAAGTGAGGAAGATTATTTCATCATTTGAGACATTATGTTTGAGATTGTTTTTTTATCTTTACTCAAGTTTTCGTAAGGACTTTTAAATAAATTTATGTTACTTTAAAGATGACGAGCAATGAATCAAATTTGTAAAATTGCAATTATTTGAATATCATATGAATTAAGAAATTCTGTAAATGGTTTAAAATTACAAACCTTTGACGAAGTAACATGATTTAAAACAATAATTTGACCTTACTCAGAATATACACTCAAAACACCGTACACTGCTCTTGCAATTAACCAATGTAACATTTTCCTTTTATAAGGTGCGGACAACATGGGGCATCATTTGCATATGACAATTACTATACTTTTCGTTTAAGACATTCAGTGATGATAATGATCTTCACAGATGGAATTGTCGAATAAGCAA